GGGCTGTGAACCGCAAGGTCAGCAGTTTGAAACCAGCTGTTCCACAGGAGAAAGATGAGGCTTTCTGTTCCCATAAAGATTTACAGCCTCAGAAACCCTGTTCCGGGTGGCTATAAGTTGGAACCGACTCCACGGCACATAACAACAACAACAATCCAACTTGTTTTTGAAATTGACCAGCTAGCAAACAAAAACCACAGAAGTCCTTTAAATAGTGAGTTGTTTCTGATTCTAAAGTAATTCAGCTTAAAATGTTTTCCTTAGTGTAGTAACAGTTTAACAATGTAATTACTACATAATGTAAGCTGTTTATTGTTTTTATGATGAGATGCATTCTTACATCCATGTTGTTATTTATAACTTCATCTCTTCAGAATAGGCATGAGTTATTTAATCTTTTTCAATTAAAAAGATGTTTTTTTCCATATTTTCTTTTTATGCCATTAGACAAATGAAAATGATTTAAGAAAATTTTTTTCCCAGTATGGATCTGTAAAAGAAGTGAAGATTGTCAATGATAGAGCTGGAGTGTCCAAAGGGTTAGTATCACTAAAGATCATATATAGAATTACCAACTGTATTTTATTGGATTATTAGGTTTTATTTAGTAACTTCTCTACTTTCCCCATATTTCTTAAATGCACTTACTAACGTATGTGTCTATGTGTGTGTGTGTATTTTAAAAGAGAGGACAATATAATATTCCTTAACAGTTGCTTGGGATTAGGGACTATGTTAGGCAGCAAGCACTTCAATAAAAATACTTAATAACAGCTTAAGGAATCAGATACATCTGGAATTTTAAAACAGCTAACCCTAAAGAATGGCTGTTGGCTGTTGCCTCACAGACATAATAGGAAACTAAAATGAGAACTATAACTCTAATGAGGCTGATTTTTATTGCTGCAATAAGAAGAAAAATTGAGGAGAAAAAAAAGCAAAATTTGTCTAGAAATATCTAATGACCTTACAACTATGTTAGTGGATTGATGTATACAAAAGCCAAATTTCAGAGAGAGAAAAATGTGAACTTTTCATAGTGTACTGTGTACTCATTTAAAGGATTTTGACTACGAAGTGAAACATAAATGGATAAGACAGTAATGATCAATGAAAAGCTATGTTGGGTTTTTTTTAAGTGAGACAAGAAATGCATATTTATAAGCAACAACGAAAAAAGAAGGTGCAGTAAGGTGAATAGAAAAAAATATTAGTAAGGAACATAAATGTTACAGATGAGCACTCTGAAAGAGATGAGATCCTATAGAAAAGTTATCTTTAAACAGAAATACTTCTGTAGATGGCCAAAAAAAATATTAAGATGAAGTAAGATGGTATCTTATTTATGAATACCAGAGAAACACTGTCAAATACAGTGCCAGGAAATGAGCCCCTCAGGTTGGAAGGCACTCAAAATGTGACTGGGGAAGAGCTGCCTCCTCAAAGTAGAGTTTACCATGACGATGCAAATGGGAGTAAAGTCCTTAGGACCTTCATTTGCTGATGGGGCACAACTCAAAATGAAGAGAAACAGCTGTAAATATCCATTAATAATCAGAACATGGAATGTACAAAGTATAAATCTAGGAAAATTGGAAATTGTCAAAA